TGGATTTTGATAAAATCTAAACATGGTAGTATTGCAAAATTTTCAATTCTAGGCTAGTTGGTTCACCCAGCAAAGTGCTCTAACAGTTCTTTATACTTCTAAAATTTATGTCAAGAGTATTCTTATTTCTCATTGTTAGGGAAGTACATTTAATTTTTTGAAGTAGCACATGATATGATACTCAGACATTTTAGCTAAAGTTGCACTTCTTTTTATCACTTGCCTTTTCATCTCTTAATCAGGTGCATGAAAGCTGATTTTTGTTTCTAAAGTCAGGTGATTCAGGTCTATTTATCATTTAGAACTAAATGGTTCAGTCTGTGCTATTTACAGAAGTGTATTGTGTGCCTGTTTCTAAATTATCACCACCTTTTTTTTGTTTGATCATGCCAAGAATGATTGGATTTGAAGATATATAGGCTTTTTCCTTTGTAAAACTTGCTACCTCAATTTAACTGTAATCATATTTTTGTCCAGCCTTTTTCTTTAATTTCTGTGAAGGGAAATGTTAGAACAGTGGATGAAATGATGTGTAGAAGTACATGTTATTTTTAACTTCATAGTTCTCTCTATCTTTCTTTCTTGTGTTGGTTGGGAGGAACAGGGTCGTTCTGCCTTTTGTGACTTTTCACGTTTTGTCTCTAATATCTTTGTTCAAGCTACAACCACACTGTGGCTGGTAACAATGTTTCACTGAACTGTGGTACGATTTTCTTTATTTTTCTAGATAACCTTTTGTTGCCATACTTATTGAACTTATTTTCATTTTCATTTTTTCAAAATGTTGGGTTTTGTTCCCATCAAACTATAGGCATGGCTTTTTCCATCTTCTTTTGGCAACTAAATCAATTATATTATGTGCTGTTAACTGTTCTATGTGCTGAAAAGTATAAGATGGTGCCCCCTGTATGATTGCTTCAAGGTTGAATTTCAGGTTTTGGTGATGCAGTTTTTGTGAAGTTGTAGTTCCATTCTTCAAATTTCAACTTACTTTGACCCCGTACTTTCCTTTAAGCATCTTTTGGGTAAATTCTTCTTGTAGATCATTGCAAATGTCGAGGAGACTATTGGTTTGGGAAAAGGAGTCAGCAAGCTTTATGCAACCGTTGATCTTGAAAAGGCAAGGGTTGGAAGGACCAGAATGATAGAAAATGAACCCTCCAACCCTAGGTGGTATGAGTCTTTCCACATTTATTGTGCCCATATGGCTTCCAATGTTATATTCACTGTAAAAGATGATAACCCTATT